AGCCAATGATGCATTAATTTTTGTATAATATGATGTCATGGGGTAGGACTGGATAAGTCTGACTTCTTCCTACTCCATTCAAACATGTAATATGTGTAAGCAAACTGATTTTGGATTAGCATTGGTTGGATATGTGTAATTATGTGTGTTGTTGTCATTTGTTCATTTGTTCTGTTCTGCATGTTTGAAAGAATAAAATCAATCAATCAATCAAATCAATCAATATGTCCCTATTAAACCATGGTTTTTGGTTGGAGAAAACACGCACCATTCTAGCTGGTGCGTATATGGGTGTGCACCAGCTGATGTAGTCACTCACAGTCTCTGCATATTCATAGATGTCGTCTGTGGCCCTTTTGAAGATGTTCCAGTTTGTGGCCGCTAGACAGCCCTGCAGGCTGGCCTGTGCACAGTTGTTCCAGGTGTTAACAGTTCTCACTGAGACTGGTTTCGCCTTGAGTCGTTTGGTGTAAGTAGGTTTGAGCTGGATTGGTAGGTGGTCAGATCTACCAAAATGAGGCTTAGGTTCAGCTGAAAAAGCATTTCTAATGTTACTGTAACAATGGTCAAGTGTTTTGTTTCCTGTAGTAGAAAAGGTTACAAACTCATACAGTTTAGGCAAGTTTTTCCTGAGATTGGAGTGGTTAAAATCTCCCAGAATAATAAAATTATCGAGTGTACATAATAAATTAGATCTGGGCATGTACAGTAAATTGATGTTGATGGGCTCAGATTAAGTGTGCTTTGTAATTTGCATAAAGTAATCTAAGAATTGTATGCTTTGGTGAAAATTTCAATACTATTTTCAAAGCATTGAACACTGTAGACTCGGCCATCTTGATGTATTCTTCTCTGGCTAGTCATTGTAATTTTAAACAGTGGCCTGATATGCCAAGTCATGCTAAAACCTTCCACTGTGGTTCCCTCAGCATTCTGGTTTGGTAGGCATTGGCCTATAAGTGGCTCAGAGTCCTGTGGTACCAGCTGGTGCCATAAATATAAACCATGAAGTGCTGAGTTTACACTGTGTAACATGTAAAAGGTTTACATGTTACTTTTAAGTTTGAAATTTTGTTTCATCTTTACGACAAACTAGGGTGAGAGGACAGGTTAAAATGTATCAGATAATTTGTTTGTGCACAGAATAAAAAACAGGGTGTTTTTATTTTTGAAAGCATTTGTTTTACGGTGATAAAGATAGTTCTCCTGGATGGTTTGTACTAATTGTGTAAAAGCCCAACAAAAAAATTCAAGTCTCGACAAAAGAACAGAGTGATCAACAGTATTGAAAGCTGCAGATACTGTAGATCCAAAAGAACTAAAAGAACAGGACACTTGGTATCAAGCGCCATAGTGATATCATTATGAATCTTCAGTAACGCTGATTCTGTACTGTGGTGGGGCTTAAAGCCAGATTGAAACTTGTCAACAATATTTAAACAATCTAGGTGAGACTGGAACTGGGTGAATACGATTTTTTCCAGAATTTTTGCAAAAAAGGGTAGGTGGGGAAATAGAACGAAAAGACGATAATAGAGAAGGATCCAGATTAGGTCTTTTAAGGAGTGGCCGAACTATCGCGTGCTTAAGAGAAGTCGGAACCACACCCGCATCCAGACAGAGATTAATAAACGTGACCAGGGAGGGGCCAAGGAGTAGTCGTGTTGCCAGCCTTTCTCGTCCTAAAAGGCGCAATGGAGTCCATGATCTGGGCACAGGCCAAATTTAGCGAGGAGAGGAATACCTCAGGGCAGCTCGGAGGATGATGATCTACTGATGAATAGAGGTCAGAGTCTAAAAATGCAGCAGAAAAGTCGGAGGGGGTAGAGGAAGTAATAATCCTGCAACGCAACTGTGGGGCCACCAGTCTGGACAGCCTTATCGGTAGTTAGACTTCAAAACGAATAAGGAAGTGGTCAGATATTGCTATATTTGACACGTCCTAATTTGTTCAACCCTTCAAGGACATCTCCTGCTTGTATTTTTCTTTTTTATACCGTTTATACATTTTAATTGATTCAGCTTTATTGTTTGCAATACAAGTCAATGGGAGCTCAAAGTGCTGATTCAATGACATAGTCTTGGAGTGCCATCTGGTGGTTCATAAAATGCAGCACAATTGAGACATGCCACTACATAACCTCCTCTCTCTCCCTCTCTCTGTCTCTATCCCCCTCCCCTTCTTCCTCTCTCTGTCTCCCCCCTTCTCTCACACACATGTTCACACCTACTTGTTTTACCTACTTTGTGGGGTCCTATTGGACTATTTTCACATCTTAAGTTCAGCATACTTTCAGCTAGCAAAGCCATTCAGGTATCAAAATGTTCAGCTCTTCAAGGCCATTCCTAGTTTATTGTGTCTCATCCTTCAGATTATTCAACAAAGACCTTCAGCCATTTCTTCTCAACTATTTCAACAAAGAACTTCAGCCATTTCATCTCATGTTTCAGCTGTTTCAGCAATTGATTTCAGGCATTTTCAGGAAGATCTTTCAGCTTATCAGCATCCACACACATTTACAACAGGAAATGCATTTCTCTAGTTTGACTATGATTGTTGCCTGAGCTGATGAAAATGCTTTGTTTATACTGTACTTTTTTTTTGTTTTAGTTTTGTTTTGTTTGATTACTCTCTCCTATCTCCTCATCCATCTCGCTGCCTCACTTTTCATCTAATTTTTATTCATTTTCATATAGCTCTATCTAATAAGAGATTCTCTGACTATAGGATGCAGGGGAAATGGTGCGCTCGCTGGTTGGTGGATTGGAACTGATTGTTAACTTGCTGAAGTCAACAAACAACGAGGTGCTAGCAAGCATTTGTGCCGCCATCACCAAAATAGCCAAAGACAAGGAGAATCTGGCAGTCCTCACTGATCACGGGGTTGTCCCATTGCTGGCAAGGTTGACGAACACAGTAAGTACACCTCATCACTGGAGACAACAACTAGAATTTACTATTCTGGGGTACTGGTGTTACTGTCAATATACAAGTTTCCTATTCAGTACAGCATAAAACTAAGTAGAGAGAAGAAGACTGGTAGATATTTTGCTAAGAGCTTTTAGGCCCTTTGGAGCTATAATTTAGCAGAGTTTGCTGTTCTGAACTGTGCATAGGGTTCCCTTTATTGTAAAGACAGATGTCTGGGGACAAACAACAGTTCTTGTCTTCACAGAGTGATGACAGACTTCGTTACAACCTGGCTGGGGCCATTGGCCATTGCTGCATGTGGGGCAGCAACAGGGTGTCCTTTGGTGATACTGGAGCTGTGGCTCCCCTAGTGCACTACCTCAAGTCAAAAGACAGTGCAGTCCACAAGAGCACAGCCATGGCCCTGTACCAGCTGTCCAAGGACCCCAACAACTGTATTACCATGCATGAAAAAGGAGTGGTCAAGGTCAGTTTTAGTACCATTGTACAGTGGAACCTTGGATTGTGAGTATAATTCGTTCTGGCAACATGCTCATAATCCAAAGCACTCGTATATCAAAGCGAATTTCCTCATAAGAAATAATAGAAACTCATATGATTCGTTCCACACCCACTTATCCATATAAAAATAATTACAGTAATACAAAATACAGTATAAAGTAAAAATAAAACAAATTAACCTGCACTTTACCTTTGAATCGTGGCTCGAGACCTTGATTGCATATGGAATAAAAATTTTTGCTCATCTTGCAAAACACTCGCAAACCGGGTTACTTGCAATCCAAGGTCCCACTTTTTGACTCTTCACTGCTCTTTCTTTGTAGATCATTTACAAAGTATTTTTTTCTCTAGTTTATTTGGTGCTTTTGAGACAAAATTTCAAATAATTACACTTAGGAAAATGTGCTTTGGCCATCCAGCACCATTATTTTAGTGATGTGTGAAAAACACTGAGTAATAAACTTTTAAAAGCTGACTGTTTTCAGAACCTTTGACTGATGGAGCAGAAACAAAGTGTTTTTTGTTCAGGGGCAGAAACATGACTCCACTTTGTAGCCATCATGGGAATTCAGAAAAGCAAACAGCTCAGTGTGTGCGAAGTACCATTTTTCTGGTACAAGCACAAGTCAAAGGGCTGTAGTTGGGGGAGACTGTTGCTAAGGGCTGTTCCTGGACATCAGAGTAGAATGTAGCAGCAATATGGTCAGGCCAAGAAGTCAGAGCTGCTTAACAACGAGGTTTTTTTGTTTTGTTTTTTTTTGTATTTTTGGTCATTTTTTAAATTCTCTGTAAGGCTACATCCGCCAGCTTCCTTCCAAAAAAAAGACAGAAAAAAGAAACATGCATTATTTGTTTGTCATTTTCACACTCAGCTCCAGATACTGTTCATGTTTGTGTCTGACAGTGAGATTAGGCTGAAACTGATGTCTTGTCACAGATGATCATGTTCCCACATTTCAGCATTTTGGGAAACAAATGCTATTTTTTAAAACTAGCTAAAGCTATCTATTAGAATTAAATCATGTTTAACATAAAAAGGCTTTCTTGTGAAAAAGGCTTTCTCATGAGAAAACCTTTTTGTGCCATGTGTTTGTTTCTAAACACATTATACATGTTAGAATACAGTTGCTGAAAACGTGAAAAAGCTGAAAACTATGTAGTGCTGAATTGTGAAGTTAGACTGTTACACAGTTATTCATCATTTCTGAGCTCAGGATTTTTCAGGGTGGAGCAAAAAGCATGGCTTGATGACGCACTGGAGCCATCCTTAACGTAACGCCTAACCACAACACTGTTATATTATAACTGGTAGAGCGCACAGAACTCTGTGCTTATATTTGTTTTTAGGTGCACTCTGAGACTGAGTACAGACAATACCTTATGGCCACAGTTATGTTTTGTAAAATAAAAAAACATACATGCCCCTGCCTCAGTATTAAACAATGACAAGAGTAGGAACACATGAAGTCTGAATGTGGTGGTGCAGGTGTGAACCAACATAGTTGGTGGAGGGATAGAAATGCAAGGGAGAGGAGATAACGGCCACATGTCAGACTTTGCAGCTGCCGCACTGGACAGAGCACCACATAACTATTAGCTGTTAGCCTAACAATTTCGCAGACAACGGGCAAAGCTGAATTGTGGCTTCTCTGCAGGTTTATGCTTGTTTATGAAGTGTTTTGTTAAATTACTCCTACTTGCTATTTAACTTGCAAAGGTGTTATTGCACTGCAGTAATGAGCAGAGTTGCTGTAAACATCAGCCATAAGTTTCACTTTCACTTCTTCTGGGCTCCCCGTCTCCACTGCTGTGACAGCTGCTGTATGCTCCGTGTGGGTGTAGGAGCTGAGCACTGCCTGCTCTTGTTCAAACACTAACACAAAGGAGAAGTGGCTCCATAAACACTAAAATCATTGTTTCCAATCCACCACTCAGTGATCTTTGATAAAATGCTCCTGTAGAGCCCTAGTGCTTTAACACCAGTTTTCCTGTTTGATCCTGAGTTACTACACCTACTATAGCCTACAGTTTGCTAGCTAGCTACGCTAGCTATGTCTTTGCCTCGGAAATGCAATTTCCTCCCTACATTTTCTCGCTTAACACGTTCATGATGACAACAGATGGCACATTTCCATGACCTGGGTGTGGTTTCAGGTTTCTTCACCCAACACCCCTGCAGCATTTCAGAGCAGAGAATACTCCTTTTTTCATGATTTTGAAAACTAATTTTATATACTTGGTGATCTTTTTAATCATTCAAATTTGGCTGGGTGGTTAACACATTTTTCTGTGGTGTGACATACTCAGAACACATTTATTTCTACTTTGCCCAGACATTAAATCCTTCCTCTTCTACTGCAATATAAATTATGAAGTGGCTATGCCATTGCAACTCAACTCAACTCAACTTTATTTATGTAGCGCTTTACCACAGCACAGCTGACCAAAGCGCTTAACATACCATACAAATCTAAAATCATCACATAAAAATATAAACAATAAAACAAACACTAACACTACAGACAGAGTCTCATTCCTGTCCAAACGCCAATGAATACAAGTAGGTCTTTAAATAAGACTTAAAAATAGACAACGAGGGGGCCTGCCTAATATAAAGAGGGAAAGCGTTCCACAGGTTTGGACCCACCACAGCAAAGGCTCTATCCCCCCTAGTTTTACACCTAGCCCTCGGTGCCTCCAGAAGAAGCTGATCAGCTGATCTAAGGCACCACGACGAATTATACGGGCGCAAAAGTTCCACGAGATAGGATGGTGCCAGCCCATTTAAGGACTTATAAATAAATAAAAGAATCTTAAAACGAACCCTAAAACGCACCGGAAGCCAATGGAGAGATGCCAGCACTGGTGTTATGTGGTCCCTCTTATGCTCCTCAACCAATAACCAAGCGGCGGCATTCTGGACCCTCTGGAGGCGGGCAGGGTTTTACTTTTACTAATTGCCTTAAATTAAAAAAAACAGATTTTACGACTGCATTTATCTGGCTCTCCATTTTCAAATCGGAGTCTATTTTAACACCCAAATCAGTGACCACCGGTCGCACATACTGTCCCAAGAAACCTAAGTCTACAGGAAGAGGGTCACCAGACGTATTTTGGCCAAACACTATAACCTCTGTTTTAGCATCATTTAACTTTAGACAGTTTAACGACATCCAGCCTTTAATATCGGCAAGACTAAAAGCGGTTGAACCGAGTAGGTGTCCTTCTTACTTAGTGGCATAATAATATGGACGTCGTCAGCATAACAATGAAAAGACACCCCATGTTTCCTAAAGATAGAGCCCAGGGGAAGTAAATACAATGAAAAAAGCAAAGGCCCCAAAATGGAGCCCTGTGGGACCCCAGATAACAAAGGGGTTGTCACAGATTCAACATCTGCCAACCTGACAGACACCAATCTACCCGATAAATATGACTTAAACCATGCTAGGGCAGCACCACGTATGCCCACTAAATCCTGAAGCTGAGATATTAAAATGTAATGGTTAACCATGTCAAAGGCCGCAGTCAAGTCCAGCAGGACAAGAATCACATATTCACTCGCATCAGTGGCTAAATAAATATTGTTAACAACCTTCAGTAAGGCTGACTCTGTACTATGCATGGGTTTAAAACCAGATTGAAAAACCTCCAATAAGTTATTCTCATCTAAAAAGGATTTCACCTGCGCATAGACCACTTTTTCCAAAATCCTCGAAATAAAAGGTAACTTAGAAATAGGCCTAAAATTACTCAACACAGATTGATCCAGACGTGGCTTTTTTAGCAGCGGTTGCAAAATGGTATGCTTAAAATGACCAGGCACAACATCAGAAGACAAACTACTATTAATAATATCCAAAACCGTGCCTCCTATACAAGGGAAGACTTCCTTAAATAGAGCTGGAGAAACGACATCTCGAGAGGAGCCAGAAGGCTTGGCCTGGGCAACCACTCCCTCCAAAAAAGTCAGAGTTACCGGCTCAAAAACATCACAAGTAGTCACACAAGGAGTATAGACCGAAGGATCGGGCACTAACCCTACCACAGGGGCCCTTGTAGCAGCAATCTTCTCATTAAAATAAACTAAGAACTTATTACATTGTTCAACCGTTGCTTCCAGGCAGACAGGCTGCGGGGGATTTAACACCGTCCCGATTGTTCTATATAATACACGTAAATCATGACTATTAGCTACAACAATACTGGACAAATACTCTTCCACAGTCCTCTGATAATTGCGCCAACAGCCCTTCAAAATTTGAAATGAAGCTTGCAGTCCATCCTTTTTCCACCTTCTTTCGGCTCTGCGGCACATCTGTCTGGCCGCACAAGTCCTAGTGCCAAGCCAGGGTTCCCCCCTAGTCTTAAGCAGCACAGTTTTCATCGGGACCACAGAGTCCAGTTTATAGCTGCAAGAGGAATGAAACCAAGCACTAAGACCCTCTGTATCCCCAGCAGCCTTGTCAGCACATGCAATAGCCTGGTCGAACGCCGTGGCAAACAAACGGGCGGGTGGAAGGGTTCAGTGCCTGACAGCGCTGGGCAGGCGCCCGCAGGGCACCAACTGTGCAAAACAGTTTCGCCTCAAAACCAATAGACAAATGATCAGAAAAAACATTCGTACAAATATTTAAATTAGTCACAGGCACACCATACGAGAGAACAAGGTCCAGCATGTGTCCCCGTTCATGTGTAGGACCAGACACACACTGCACCAGTTCAAAAGCATCAATAATAGTTAAAAACTCCCTCACCAGTTGTTTATCAGGGCAACACACATGTATATTAAAATCACCCAATATAAGAAAACGATCATAATGAGGTCTAATGCCGGCGATAAAATCAGCAAAGTCATTCACAAAGTCCTTGTTATATCTCGATGGCCTATAAATGACAGCACACAGTACAGGATCCAAACGACCCACCTCAAGTAAAGTCATTTCAAAACTAGAAAACGTAGGC